TGCTATGAGACGCGGCCTTAGACGCATGTGTACATCCCCACCTCAGTGATGCAGACTGGACATCCTCCACCCTCTTTGTTCAGGGAATGGTGGGTACAGTCTTGGAGCTTCGGAGTGCAATGAACCAAAGGGTTCAGATTGAATCTGCTATCCAGTTGGTTCTGCCATGGGCAAGCGGAGGGCACCCCAAGCACAGAAAACATAACGCCCTAGGGCGTCGTCCGCTAGCCAGAGTCAGCCAGGAGGCAAGCGATTATACCCTTCCATGGGAGGGAAGGGTAGTAGCGCGCCCACAGGGAGGTAAGGTGGTGGCTCCTCACCCTCTCTGGGCGGGCGTCTACCCAGCAGCAGGGGAGGCATGTTTGACGCTCACCTCTGCAACCGGGGGGACAGGCATGTGTTCGGTGAGTGGCCAGGTCACAACTTAATGACTACTTAAGGCCTTGGGGAACTCACCTCATGGGGGAAGGGAGCACCCCCCCTCGCAACTGCCGAACACATGGCCACATATCCCTGTCGTACACAGATTGCGCCGATGTAGTCCGGTTTGGAGATGGCGGGTGACTGATCCCTGGACCTTTCCAGGTGCTGACATCCGTTTACGGGATACCGCTGAAATCTCCATTTCCCCCCACCAGTGTCTCCCCTGTTGGGCACTGCCAAGGGACTCCGGCAAGGCAGAAGCAATCAGACAGGAAGTAGCAGTTTGCTGGGGAAAGACGTCATACACAGGATACATCAGCCGGAACTAAATCCAGGCTTCTACCCAAATGTGCTCGTAGTACAAAATCTACAAGTGGCAGGCGTCCAGTTTTGGACCTAGGCAGACTGAATCAGTACGTGCTCCTCGATCGGTTCCACATGGAGACACCATTCAGGGTTCTTCTTTCCATCCACCGTTTTTGACTGGCTAGCCCCGCTAGTCTTAAGCGGGGACTACCTGCACATACCGATGCACCCAGCGAGTTGCCATCTCCTTTGAATCGCCGAACTGGGCCAAGTATTCAAATTTCGGGTGCCCCCCCAACCCTCAATAGGAAGACCCCCTCCAATAGACACACAATATTTTGACAATAGACACACCATATTTTGACAATTGACACATCATGTTTTGGTCATACATGTAGATACACCATATTTTGACAATAAACACGCCGTATTTTGACAATAGACACACCATATTTTGACAATAAACACGCCGTATTTTGACAATAAACATACAATATTTTGACAATAGACACACTATATAGATCTGAGACCTCAGAGGCAGAATGCACCAGCCTCCTAAACCAGGCAACACATTTACTGGTGGGCCACAGCCCATCTTCGTGCGACATCCCCTAGTGTCACCTGGCTCTCTTGGCCGAGGCCACTACTGTGCAACGAGACGCGGTTTTAGAGGCGTGTGTTTTCGCCGGCAAACTGAGTCAGCAGGTATGTCTCCATCTCAGTGACGCAGTCTGAACATCTTCCACCCTCTTTGTTCGGAGAATGGCTGGTGCAGTCTCAGAGCTTCGGAGTGCAATGAACCAGAGGGTTCATATCAAATCCGCTAGCCTGTTGGCCCTGCCAAGGATAAACGGAGGGCACCCCATACACAAAAAACACAACACCCTAGAGCGTCGTCCGCTAGCCAGAGTCAGCCAGGAGGCATGCAATCATACCCTTCCATGGGAGGGAAGAGTAGCGGCACGGTTCAGGTGGTGGTTCCTCACCCTCCTCGGGCGGTCGTCCACCATGGATGTGGGGGAAGCATGTTTGACACTTACCTCTGCAACCAGGGGGGACAGGTATGTGTTCGGCAAGTAGCCAGGTCACAACTTAGTGACTATCGCAGGCATTGGGGAAACTCACCTCATGAGAGAAGAGAGCACCCACCCCTCGCAACTGCCAAACCCATGGCCACATATCCCTGTCGTACACAGATTGCGCCGGTGTAGTCCGATTTGGAGGCAGTGGGTGACCGATCCCTGGATCTTTCCAGGTGGTGACATTCCGTTACGGGATATCGCTGAAATCTCCATCTCCTCCGTCACTGTCTCCTCTATTGGCACTGCC